CCTCACTGACACTTCACCTCACTCACACTTTACCTGAGATCTTCCCTCAAAACATCCCCTGGATGTGCTTTCAATGTTCCCTCAGCTTTACCTCTGTGAAACTCTCAGTCCCCTCTGTGTTACCTCACCAAGGGTGACGGAGTTCAAGCTTTTTCCTCAGTAACTCCACTGAAACACCCTGCTGCCCCTGCTGCTCAACAATCCCTACCTCTGTAACAGCCCAAAATCTGCCCTAGGGCGACTCCACAACCTTTCATCGAGCTTCTCTAAAGCGCCTTTAAAAAGCTTCTCTAAAGCTCCCGTCCCACAGACCGGGGGAGGAGCGGGACACTGAGGCTGAGGGGAGGGGGGGGGGGGGGGGGGGCAGGAAAAGCAACGCAGCTGCAGCGACCAACCCGCCCTGCTCTGTCCCACCCCGTCTCGTCTCCCTCAGGGCACCCTCAGAGCCCCTCGGTGACCCTCCAGAGCACCCTTTTCGCCCTGTATCCCTCACAGCCCCTAAAGGGATACAGGAGACACTCACTCACCCCTCGGGGCACCCTCTTCGCCCTCAGAGATCCTCAGAGACACACCAGGCACCTGCCTCCCCCCTCAGCAACATGGCGGGAAACCTGCCTTCCCCTCAGGGACACAGAGAACACACACCTCTCCCTCAGTGACTCTCAAAGTTCCTTGCCGGTACTCAGGGCACCCAATTGCCTCTCAGTGATCCTCAGCAACAAACAAGACACCTGCTTTCCCCTCAGCGACCCTCACAGCCCCTCAGGGAACCATCTTCACTCACAGTAACACTCCCAGAACCCTCAGCAACCCTCGAGGCACCCACTTTCCCCTCAGTGATGTACAGGACACCCACCTCTTCCTCACTGACCCTCAAAGCCCCTCAGTGACACTTGGGGCACCCGATTGCTCCCCCGTGACCCTCATGGACCCTCAGTGACACACAGGACCTCCTCCTTTCCCTCAGTGATACAGGGGGCACCAGCCTCCTCCTCTTGTGACCCTCAAAACCCCTCAGTGACACTCAGGACATCATGTATTTCACCCCCAAAATGTCCCCTACTCAGCTTTTCCCTCCAGGATTTTCAGTCTGTCCCTCACACTTTACCTGAGATCTTCCCTCAAAACATCCCCTGGATGTGCTTTCGAAGTTCCCTCAGCTTTACCTCTGTGAAACTCTCAGTCCTCTCTGTGTTACCTCACCACGGGTGACAGAGTTCAAGAAGCTTTTCGCTCAGTAACTCCACTGAAACACCCTGCTGCCCCTCTGACACCGTTGCTCAACAATTTGTATTACCTTTGTAACAGCCCAAAATCTGCATTAGGGCGACTCCACAACCTTTCATCGAGCTTCTCTAAAGCGCCTTTCGCTTGCGCCCGCCTCACAGACCGGGGGAGGAGCGGGACACTGAGGCTGGGGGGGGGGGGGGGGGGGGCAGGAAAAGCAGCGCAGCTGCAGCGACCAACCCACCCTGCTCTGCCCTACCCCGTCCCGTCTCCCTCAGGGCCCCTCGGTGACCCTCCAGAGCTCCCTTTTCGCCCTGTGTCCCTCACAGCCCCTAAAGGGACACAAGAGACACTCACTTACCCCTCGGGGCACCCTCTTCACCCTCAGAGATCCTCAGGGACACACCGGGCACCTGCCTCCCCCCTCAGCAACATGGTGGGAAACCTGCCTTCCCTTCAGGGCCACACAAAGTACACACCACCCCCTCAGTGACACAGGTGGAACCCACCTGCCTGGGATAATTTGTTTTTCAAATTACCAAATTGAGATTATTCACACCTGAAAGTCCGTAAAGAAAATACGTTTGGGTGAGGCACTTCACATACACTAACCACCTTTTGTAATTAATTTTGTAATGCTGAGGAAATTACGGAAGCATGAAACCTGTGAATAACTTAGGAGTATTTTAAAAGGACTTGTAGTTAATGGGCCTGTTAACCTGATATGATCCAGGTGAAATAGTGGAAAAAGGCAAAGAATTTCAGTGATAAAGAATTAAATTATAGGAATACAATTAATTTGTAGAAAATAGGCCTGATTTAACTCTTTGAGAGATTACAGATGTAATCCTACTGTGGAGATGTCATACACTTTAACTATTAGAAGGCATCCAGCAAGCTCAATATGCTACTGCTCATTTAAAATAGCTGGCACTGTAGCACGCATAGTCTAGAACTGATGGGTTAGAAAAATAATGCCAGTAAGAAATAATCATCCAGTGAGGCTGTTTAAAATTGTGTCTTCCAAAGGAAAACAGCACTCAAAGGAAAGTGATGCCAGTTTTATGCATCCCCTGGATTTAAATATAAAATCACGATAGATAAAATATGCAGATGACACAGAGATTTGACAGCATGACAGATAATGATGCTGAAGTCAAACAGAGTAGTTTGGTAAACAGAACAAACCCATGCAGTTAGCTGCTGTTTTAATATATTCACATGCAGAGCTGTATGTCTGAAAAAAATATAAAATGTGTAAGTATGGAGGGGAGGACAGTATCCTTGAAAACAGCAACTTTGAAAAGTGCTTATAAATCATTTTGAACAACTGAGTCAACACACACTTCTAATGTGATATGTGAGGTAAACAGGATTAACAAGAATTTTTAAATCTATTCAGAAAGGCAGTGTGTAGGAGTAGGAAGGCAATTTTTTGTTTATATAAGCACTGATGAATCCAGTACTAGAATACTGCTTACAAGTCAGGTGTTAAGTGTTTCTAACAGTGGAAGAAATGAAGAAGGTGTAAAAAGAAAGCCATAAAGATTATCTGATGCTGGAAAAAAAGCCTTACTGTGAAGGACAGAATGAATGCAATTTGCTAAGCTTATCAAAAAAAGTTTGAAAAGTAACTTGATTGTAGCAGAGAAGTACTAACACACAGAGAACATACCATGTATTAAAAGGCTTTTTAACCTCAGGGAAGAGAATATGAGGAAAAACAAGGACTAAGAGCTACAGCCAACACATTCAAACTATCAGTTAGACAAAGATCAGCACGTCAATTAGTGAGCAGAACAGGTCTGATGCATCTCCACACATGGAATCTTCAAACTGAAGCTGTGGTTTTTTCCATCATATGGGAAGTTGCCTGGCTAAATTATTGGTCTCAGACTCAGAAAATAGTGCTTCCTCCTTGTATGCAATGTAGTTTAGTATATTCCCACACTGTGTGATATTTAGTCTATTTTTACACAGAAACAGTATGGTCTGAGAGAAAAATCAACACTAGTACTTTAATGGTAATATATCCAACATAATTATGTATAAAAGTGAAGAAAAATGAAGCATGTAGCAGTAGCAAAAAGTGTTTTCTGATTATAAAGTAAAAATTGTCATACCAGGGGGAAGATTTTTTTCTTAACATGAAAACCCCACTAGATGGCACTGTAACATCCCCTTAGAAATGTTCTCACTGACCGACAGCCTGATTATCCATTTTTAATCAAGACTAAAAGAATTTATGAACCAGAGTATGAAGAATCCAGGGGACATAAAATCCTGATATTAGACAGGATGGGTTTTCTTTCTTTCTGTTTACTGTACACGATCTACTCTTCACTGTCTAGTTTATGATTATCTTCATTATCTTTATGCACTTAAATATTTGGAGACTTTGTTTAAGGGAACTTTATCGGTACCAAATTATATCAAATGCTCCTTAGAATATGGAACTGAACACCATTCCAATGCATAGTTTGATTGCTGGCTAGGCTTTGTTATCTTCCTGCTAGACTTAGTTGAATAAATTACAGCGACTCTTTCTTTTAAAGTGAAATAGAGGCTATGGGCTCCTCTCTCAGTAGGACATGGCATCAAAAATGCTTGGAAGTTCATTAATACACAGTAGCAGGAATTATTGTTTCAGTAAAACCCAAGAAATACGCTGTGTATTTATAAAGACTCTTTTCTGGGATTTCATCTGTATAATAAATTATTTACAGGAAAAATTGATCACTTTAAAGCTACTTCTTCCAGACAAGATGCTGCCTTTAAATACTCAAGGCATTAAGTGGGAAGAAAGGAATCAGCTCCCACTTCACATTTCCCTTGAAACTTTTAAGATCCTCAGCTATTCAGGCTGCCCTATTTGTGGGAGTTACCATATGAGTGGTGAAACTGTTAAAATCAGGGAATTACTGTATAGGTCTGGTTGAAGAAACGGAGAGGGTCTATACTGTAGTGTAACACACCCAGTGTCTCAAAATTGAAAGTATTAGGCTTCCTGATATAATTTTAGTAAAAAAATAAAGGAAATACAAACCTCCTGCAGATGACAATCTCATGTTGAAAATGCATTCAGACCCTACACATAGCAAGGTGACTGTAAGTGTCTGGATGTGCTTTGAGTTTGGCCCTTCAGAGAATCAGAGCTGGCATGTCCCCTCCTTGGCACTCAGAGTCTCTAAGTGTCTTTGACAGTTTAGGCTTTCAGAGGTTTATTAGTGAGCCAGGTGAAAACTGTGCTGCAGAAGAAGGTGCTGCTAAATATAATTGGTTTTTAGCCCAGAATATAGATGCTTTGCTACACAAAGGGCTACTAAAAGCAGCCTGGTGTAGAATATAAAAAATGTATCTAAAACCTTGATAAAATCAGCCACAAAAATTCACCAACTAAACAACCAAATCATTACAAAAGTCAGTTGAATAAGGGGCTGAAAAATCCTAAGCAGAAAAATAGAAATGATGGGAATTTGGAAGGTTGGGCTATCACTACAATGTGAGCACTACACATCAGCTGCAATCAATAAAGGAAGCAGAGCTACTACTTGGTCAAGTACTCTATTGACAAGCAAGACATAGGTCATTAGACATGGAATGTGATCCTTTACCCAGCTGCCATATTGTAGTACCACATTTCATTTCAGAGCAGAGAACTGGAACTATTTTCCTAGTCCTCTTTACCCAGTATCAGTTAATTGCACTGTCATCCTTGGCTGCTAAACCTGCTGTCTTTCTCATGGAGATCACCTGCAGGTTTTCTCACTTACCATAAGCTTCAGGACAGGCCCCTCTCTCTTAACTTCAGCTCAGTCAGTGGGAAAATCCTTTCTTGTGTCACAAACCATTATCAAACTGAAGATGACTGTCTTAAGGCAGTTGGTTCACTCTCCACCTGAGTGAGAGTACTGAGTTAGGATGAGTTTAGACCTGCACCAGCATGACAATATAAAGAGATACCCATTGTTTCATTCAACTTCATTTAGATTGGCTGGTATGGTATCACAGCAGAAAGCAGCTAAACAGGTACACACAGATGCACACATAGAGCTCCTCAAAATTCTAATGTATTTAATTGCCATGATATAATAAGACATAACACTCCACATTCAATTGAATCTGCAACAGAAATGTAGTGAATGGGAAATCCAAAAGCAGTGCTCTTTTCTCTGTCAAAGGACAAGGGGGATCTGCTACAGATAAGTAGTGGTGCTGGTCAGGCATCTTTAACTAGGGAGACAGTGCTGAAACATGCCTTCTCTTTCTGGCCTTCCCTTGCTATCCCTTCTTTTAGGATCTGTGCTCTCAGGTTCCCCACTGCACATTTGTGGCAGGGGTTGGCCTTGCAGGTACTTTTCTCATCCATTTCGACCTATGCATGTAATTTAGTTACAAGTTTTAAAAAGAAATATCCCTTTCCCTTGGTGTCTAATTTTTTTAGATTAGTCAACTGCCAAACTGCCAAGCTCTACGCAGGCAACCAGCCCTGTAGCAGAAGACTGTCAGTTCCCTCTGTGACTGAGGACCCCATAAGCCAGGTCAGCTGAACAAGTATATGTGACCTCAATTGATATATTTGCCCCATGTCATAAATATGAAATTTTTCTCACTGACTCTGTCATTCAGTTACAGATTTTTTTTTTTTTGGTGACTTATTCTTCTTTTTTCTTGCTGTTTTTCATTTTATGGCACTAATTTGTCACTATCAGCAACTCATTCATATCTATGTCAACCAATTAGAGATAATTCATGTGGGTACTGTTGCATTAGCTAATGTAATTTCATTCTGTGGTCAGGTATTGTAGTGGTTTTCTTGTTAGTCTTTGAAAGAGCTGTTAATACTAATGAATAAAATAATATGAAAATGTGGTAGCTGCGGTGTCATATGTAAGCCTGAGGTAAAACTGCACTTGGACAAGTTCTTTTGTGAAGGAGACAGGACTTGATGTTTGCCAGATCTCTTAATAGGCAAATTTAGTAATCTAAAGTATTTCTCTATCTCTCTTCACACACAAGGGAGTTTTATCTGTTGCTCCTAAGAAGAAACTGTTCCCAGGTCCAATACAGAAGCATTGCTAGTTTTCCTGACGCCTTTTTTTCCCCCCTCTAGAATAATAATGTTTTGCTTGGACCATCTTCCTCTTTCTCACTAGCTGTTTCAAGTATTTCTATGGCTCTAATTCATCTTTTTTTTTTTCCTCATAAGACAGTACAAATACATCCTCTGAGATTCTGTTAGACTCTCATATGCAAGGTATATAATATAAAACCTTAAAAATATATTCTTATTATGTCATCTATGAAACAATTCATTTGTTCATAATAACTCTGTGTGTATTTGCTTGGTAATCTGGCAACGTTTTTTAACATATTTATCAAATATCACAAAGGATTTGGTTCTTTTGCAGTCATTATTTAAAAGATTACTCATCCCCAGTTTGAGAATTTTAAAGAAAACCTACAAAACACAAATTTTTGCTTAATTTTTAGTTTGGTCTTCCAAAATAGAAGTACTATATTCGTCCAAAATTAGATTATTTTTAAGATGGTGGCAACAAATGTATTTTTATACTTGGAGAAATTAGTATGTTTTACATTCACCCTGCAACAGCTGGTTTAGTCTGGCATTATACTTTTTTCCAGAGCTGTTGAGGGATTTCTTTAGCCCAATAGGATTTGTATTGATTTCTGTTGCAATTTTTTTAGTGGTCCTTATTTTTGGAGTTTTTCTCTTATATTGATTCTGAAAGCTCCAGCCATTTGGGTTATTACAAATTTTGCTATATTTATGCTGTAATTCTACTACAATAATCAAGAAGTCAGACCTTCACAGACTTTCATGCACACGCACACAACATAAAAAACCACACACATACACAACTGAACTTGCAACTGGTTTGCTGGAACTCTAAATTTGAATAAACATGAATATTTAAATTGTTAATAAAACATCTTTTGCAGTTTTATGTGTGACAGACACCCTCTGTAGCTTGAAGAGCTCTGGGTGTAGAAAAACTAGCGAAGAGCAACTATCTTTCTACCCTCGGGTGGGAAGCACATTGAAAAATATCTGCACACAGAGGAGATGTGAGGAGATGATGCCCACAGAGTGGACTGAGGCTGAGCAGAGTGAATGTTTTTACATGGTCTGATTCTAAGCACCTGAATGATAAAGTCAGTTCCTACTGTGGGTTGGGAACTGCTGTAGCAGTTATACATCCTACATGCTTGAAAGAATAGGGATCCTGATTCAATTAAAATTCTTCACTATTCTCTAGAAATGTGGACTTTTCATTTAGCACAAGGTTTTACCTTTGCTCTCAGGTGCTGAATTTAGCGCTCAGTATTTTGTGGGTTGTGGGAGAGGAAGAAAAGAAGATTTTCTCATGTAATCAGAAAGCAAGCACTAAGAAATGGACTGGCTTAACAGCAATGGAGATATCCACAGCTCAGTAGTTTGGAAACTATTCTGGACTGTAGAGCAGCATTGCTGGAGCTGAGCTGTTTCAGAGAGCTCGTTACAGAATTGCATTGTTGAGTCATAAACTAAACAGTTGTTGTTCCTGTTAAGATTTCCTGATTGTAATACCATTCCCTTTAGAAATGGGAGACCATTCATTTGAAAAAATAATACATAAAGAGTAGAGCCAGTAATACAGGAACTGAGCTTTGTGTGTAGTGGACCATGCACTGTGATCCATGGGCCACAACCAAGAAGATAAAGATGGATGGCTGTTGAACTTGAGGATAAAACACAATCCCCCATCACTTTTAAATTAATAAAACTTAATTTTAATGAAAAGTAAAAGCAGGCACAAACTGTGAATCAAACAAACAAAAAATAGATGCAAATCTGATAGACCCTGAATAAAATAGTTTCAAAATACTCAGACTTGCTTCTGTGACACTCCATATCACATGTCACATATTATTCACTTGCCTGAAGACTTCTTTTGTGACAAATTCTGGAAAAGAGAAAGAACTGAATGATAGATAATGAAATCTTATGACTTCTGTATTTTTTTTACAGAGAAATTTTTAAACATTGAGATTTTTTCTTTCTGAAGAAGAAATTAATTATAAAATTAACAGATAAAGTACAAGCAAGTTATATTATTTCCACAGAAACTTGAAACTGATTATAAAAGTGAGAAATACAAATTTCTCATGACTGTCATTCTGCTATTGATGGTAGTGACAGCTGCATCTTCTGTGTGCTTGATCAGGGGCTCTGAAATGAACCTCTAAACCCCTTTTGCTTCCCAAATGGGACTTCAAAATATTTTTTCTCTTTGTATATTACACAGACTGATAATCAAGAAGTCTGAAGTTAGGATTGCCATTTAGAGAAAAACACATTTTAGTAAGTTTTTGTAGGGAATTTGAGAGTGAACAAAAGAAAGTACTACATAAAAGGATCCTATTTCTCTATATTCCCATCTTCCATTTAACTGGCAGCTGGAAGTAAAGATTAGTTTAGCTCCAAAATGCATAATCTTATGCAGCTTTCAATAAACTAATAATATGTATTAGTCCCACAAATACATCTTTTTTTGGGCTAAAACTGAATCTTTGTATCTCTTTATCTTTGTCTCTTCTCTGTAAATTTCTTTTTCTGTAAGAAATTGTATTACTGAACATTTGGAAATAAGCCAAAAGAAATGAGTATTGGAGTGGGCCTATAATGTGAGGATGTTTAGATGTATACATAGTATAAAAAAATGCTTATCTAAAGCCACTGCTAATCATCCTAAATTACACCTTTAAAACTAAAATTATCAACTCCTTAAAATACATAATGAAAATGGCATACCATTTGCAGAATTTCAATTTCTGCTTGAAGAGTCTCACAGACACTTTCCCAACTATCATCTTTGCATTTTTCCAATTCTTTCTTAAGTCTGAGTCGAAAAACAAAAAGAAATTTCAGGTCAGAGAACTGTTGCTGGGCAGCTCTTTTTCCAGCTTTGGTCCCAGTTGTCCATTTGACTTGTGTGAGAAAAGCCTCATTGATCTATTTTCATGATCGGGATTTACGTTTGCTAGTTTTGTAATTGGCCCTCCAACATGCCGCTCTCTCACAATACTCTTGGATTTTATTCAGCACTGGTAGTTGTGATGGCAATGTAAGGGAATTCAGAAAGCAACACTTTGGGTTTTTTCAAAGTATGTCTTGATGAAGTAATTTTTTAGACAAATTTCTGGACTGTGTTGTTTTTATAAACCATGAAAGATTTAGGGCCTCATTAGTCATCATTTTCCTTATTTAAACATGTGAATTTGAATGTTGATACTTAGGAAGTACCATATGTTACTGTTCTTATTTTTCCTGAGTATCTATTTGTAGCTAGTGATGGAGACAGAATGTTGGATTAGATGGGTCCTCTGCCTGACCCTGTGCTATCACCAATCCACACCCTTCCACAGACGACTCTGCTGCTGCTGCTGTTCTCCCCCCACTGCTCCCATTATTCTTCATCACTCTTACTGACTGTTTCCCAATAGTCTCAGCCAGGAGTTCTCCAACTTTTCTACAGTAAGAATTACTTTTAATATAGCTATTTCTCCATTTAAAAGATCATTTAGTCCTGCTAAAAGGAGACACCTTAACTTTGCCCATCAGTGACTGTAGTGGTTTAAATTAATACTTAGTTGGCCAAGAGAAATCTGTGCCAGAGCTTTCAGTAGTCTGATAAATACAAGGTGATGAGATTAGACTGAGTCCTTCCATGGCTGTCATAAGAAAAGCATAATGACAAAGCTAAAGTTGTTTTCTCTTAATACCGTTTCAGGAAACAGTGTGAATATTCTGGGACATACAAACAGACTGAGAAAAGGAGGAAAAGTATATATTCTGCTTGTCATTAAATAGCTAAACTGACACATCAAAGCCGGATGTTGTTTCTTCTGAAGTTGAAAGAGGAGGTAGCAACTATTTTTTCTTTTATATACTATAATAGACAAGAAATTATTTAACCCTATTATACAGATGATGCACCTCTTTGGCTGCAATAGAGTTGGTTTTCTACACAAGACAATGGCTTTATTAAAAGCAAAAGATATATTTTCATAAGAGAGGAATAACTTAGTCACTGTGCAACATTAGAATAATAACATAAGACTGCATTGTCAATTTTGCTGTTCCTGTGGAAGATGCAAATATCTTACCCTCAATATGAAAAAAGTATGAGGGAGTAAATGCCTCTGTTTTCAGAAATATTTCTCATAACACATACAAATATCAAAAAAAAAGGAAATTTTGAACTAGACTTTAAATAATGAAATATTCCCTGTGCTGTAGTATATTGTTAATTTACAGACCATTTCACTGAGAGAAGTTCATTTCAAGGTCTAAGATCAGCTTGTGATGTTGATTAAATCAGCCTAACTTCATTGCCTTGTCTACTCAGTGTTCTCTGAGGAACAGAGAACTTAGAAACCTAAGACAAACAAAAACCCTACTTTGCCTAATTTGCCTTAGAAAAAGACACAGTTTGTTGATCTCAGAGAAAATGCTCTCTCACTGTCTTCCACATTATAAAAGTGATGCATAGTCTGTTTGCTAGTTGTCAGCTAAGAATGATACCAGTCCACGGTAGCTGTACATTAAGGATAGAACAACCAGAAGATAAGCAGTAGGAGTTGCTTATCTGTGTCCTGGGATTGTGAATTAATTACTATTGACGATGTGCTTTGAAACTAATATTTTGCATATGGATTTAAAAATTTTATTTCAAATATTTTATAGAACTTCTAAATGTAGTGACAGCACAATTCCTTATATAGCATCAGGTTGTGGTGATAAAAGACACATTCATTCAAATGTGGTGTTTAATTCTTACATTAATCAATTGATTCTGCTTTCAAGTCTTACTTCTTTCTTATTTAGAAGCTAGATAATTACAGTATGTGCCAGGAATATTATACTCACAAAATAAGGGGCTGTCTGTTAGGTTACAGTCTACAAAATTAATGCATTGGAAACGCCTGAGTTACTGAATAAATGATGAAGTTTTACCAGAAGGAATGTGAGACAATGGAACTATTAAAAAAATGCTTAACCTGAAAGCAGATTTAGGTTTTTCATTTTACATTTAAGATAAGCAGGATATTCATATTCATCTTTCCACTATCAGATTAAATGTGCAAACCAATTATTCATGAAACTATACTGTTTAGATGGAAGGCAGGTTTTCTGTCACCTTTGGAAATGGAAAGAGATGTAACTTTTGCCAGAACAAGGATTAATATGACAATTATATCCTCGCTTATGACTATGATAAAAAGCAGATCTCTTATAAAGAATAATCTGAAAAATCACATTAGCATTTGGCCGTCCATGTCCTTTGGTTTTGTTTTATTTTTACCATTTTGTTCTCTTTGGTGACAATAAAATATATCTTTATAATAAGTCATTGCACTGCACTAAGAGTGTATTGGTAAATTACAGCATCACAGGCTCTCATGAACAGCTGGAGCGGAAGTGCCGAATTTGCAATAGCAAAACCCAGTCTTAAATCAAGTAGGTGGGACAACAACATCAGCATTTTTTGGATGCTAGCTTGTCCTAGACTGAGCTCTACTATCAATGGCCCATTTTCCATTATTCTTGAATGCCAGAAGTGACAGAGATGAAGAAGGAGGAGACCACTGAAGATGATCGATTTTGCAGCTTTGAAATGAGCCCAGCTATTAAATGTCATTGGCGTTTGTGGTTGATCCACTCTTCTTGAATTTCAGCTGTATATGCACAAGGAAAATAGGAAAAATAATTGTGAAATCAATACATGCTGGTATTATAAATTGAACTATGGAAAAAATAATGTTATTGTCAAACAGGTTTCTCTGAAAATCATCCATGGATTCAAATTACTGGATGAAGACTTCAGTATCCAAAACTTGCATTTCAAGAATAATTTTATGTAAAGAGTTCTCAAAGGAGAAATAATTTATGTAGAAGGCAGGATTAACATGCATTTTTGGTCTGTTTTTTTTCCCCTAAGTGGGGATGAAACACTCTAACTGGTTGTTGTTGGCACTGCAGAAGGAGCAGACTGTCTCTTAGTTATGTTTTGCTGAGATAGGTAAAACATCTTCTTTGTATTCTCCTTCTTGTCTTTGCCTTGTTTATGACCACCATTTTATTTTTTAAACATAAATTGGAGGGAAGACATTATGGTGTATTATAAAACAGAATTGCTTGACATTGATATACAGGGCATAGAATTCATGGTACAAAATGAAATTGTGTAGGAAGTTATATATAAAACTTGAGAGTATGCATGTTGATTTTCCTGAATTTTGTTGTAAACTCCAGGAGATACATTTATCAAGGTTTTAAAACTTTATTGAGACTGAAGAAAACATCAAAGACTTTGGTTTATTGTCTCAAGCTGAAGCAGAGGTAACGCATTGAGGTCATTCACTCCCACTTCAGTACTGGCACTAAATTAATATCTATGTTTCTCTAGTGAGAGCAAGATTTTGGTGGGTATTTACAATCTGCTGACACTACTAAACAGAAAATGCTATTGATACAGCTGCAGAAGTCAATCAATTTCAGACTATTATCAATTGATTGAGGAAGGGAGAAAACAAGTCCTAAACGGAGTTTAGTATCTCAAAATATAAACTCAAGTACTTGAGCTACACAATTAAATTATAAAAGTCTGTGCTTGGTGGAGCAGAAAGAGAATAAAAACTAAGAAAGTGATCTAGGGGTAATAATAAATACTAGCAAGAAGATTAAACATGAAAGCGAAGAGGGTACTAGACCACATAACAATGGGAATTAAATGTAAATTAAAAGAAATAGAGCTACCTTAGGTAAAATGAGAAAGTTTTGGCTTTTGCTGTCCTGGATCAAATGCTGAATGTAAAATATGCAATTTTCACTGATTAAAGCTTGCATTTTGTGAATGCTGTCAGGCAACTATTTATAGGAGTAGTTAGAGGTCTTCAAAAGTGTGGTGGTATTTTTTTTTTAATTTATATTCCCCAAATACATAAAACATCACAAGACATCTTTGAGGAATATATTATTATAGATGAATAAACATGAAAAGGTTAAGGCACACTGAATTAAACTGCACATTAGGGTGAGATTTGCTTTTGTGCAGACAGTAAACCAAAGATATATGGACTACTTTTCACAGGAACTGGAAGAAGAGTTACACAGGAAAGACAAAATGTACAAGCATCAGAGATGTGAAAATGAAACGTGTTTTTAGGGGTCAGTAAGATTCCTATTGAGGCAGGAAAAGTAAATAGGGGTCAATGATCCCTCTCATTCAATTTTCTTGATTTTTCTATTGTACATGGAAAATTAGATCCTAATCTGGATATATTAATATTGCTACCCTATTGCTGAAATCAGTGTCTGTATAATGTACTGCTTTCTTCATGTGTATAATTTTCTCAGAGCTAAAAAGGATTTAGAATTGTCCTTCTTTCCTTCTGCATTATGGGCTCTCCATACTCTACTCATCTTCCAGGTTGAATGCATCTCCTTTTTTTGACAAGTAGGTGAGAGATTTGTACACAATATTTTTACACCCTCCTGCTTCTTGTTGGAAATAACTCTTGCTTTTATCTTGTCCACAGCTATATTTACTTTTGATGTTTATAGCTGTATTTTGCTCATGCAGTAGGCTCAGACCTCTCCTTTGCTTCCAGGTACCTATTGTTGAAGCCCTTAGTTGTGTACAAATAGATCAACTTGCACTGTATATAATTATATTCCTCCTCTTTTTCGGCAAATTCCAGTCTACAAGGTGTAGTTTTTTGATTATTTTACACTATTGTCATAAAACACTTTCTATTCCAAAGTCATTATTTATAACATTAACCATGACCAGCAGTGACTGTAGGTACCTTCTTCAAGTGCCAGAATTTCTATTTTCAGTCCTGTTTCTGTTGTTAATATTAGTAATTTCTTTCCTTAATTTTTAAAATATGTCTTCCCCAGGTAAACTAGTAGTTTCCCATGTGGGTTAACATCAAATACTTTATTAATGTCTAGATGGATGGCATTTGAATTTTCTTTGCCTAACCAATTTGTTGTCTTGTCAAGGAAAGATATCATTAGTCAGATTTGATCTACTTTTTGTAAATACATACTGCAATTCATAATGGAAACTTATTTTAACATAATTCAAACTATAATAGTTCCACTAGGCACTGCCATTAAAAAGGAAAGCTCAAAAAATCAATGAGGAGATTGCCATTGAAAAACTAATTTTGAACCATAAGAATTACTCCAGAGACTGATATCTCTAGATTATAAAATTTAAAATAAAATTAAATTGCAAATTTTTTTTTAACCCCATCAGGACCATACATGGCCTTAGGCAGTCTGCTGTTAGCATGAAATATTTTTCAGCTCTAATGAATATATTTCCTGTATGACCTGTATGAAAGAAAGAATTACTTTTTCCTTCCTAATTTTGGTAATGGAGTTTCTTTTTCTGCATTATGAAGTCTAAGAAGCAATACTATATTTTTGGATTTAGACAAGTATACAAAGCCTTGAACTACTTAGAAAGTAAGCAGATTTCATGCACTTCCTTTCTGCTACTTCTTTTCTGAAGTAGAAGAGAGATTCAGGTTTCAAAGAAACATTTTATCCTCAGTCTACCTTTTAAATAGTGTGAAAAATATCAGTTTTAGGTAGAAATGTTCTGTTGTTAGTCTAAATGAGCCTCAATTAAAATTATTTCTAGGCTGCTTTACTTAAGGCTACACAAAAATTTAAAATTAAAATGTGAAAGAAGATAAATAATTAATATAGCAATTACAATTAATATCATAGTGAAATGACATAGTTAGGAATTTACTGGTATCAGTTAGTCTCTGCTTGACTCCTGAGTTGTTCCACTCAAGTGATGCTACTTGCTACCTGCCAGGGAAATGGGACTCAAGAGAGCTGATGCCAAAGTTCTTTCCTGCTGTTTTGTGTTTGAGGTTGGCATTGGCAGAAAAGATGATTAAAATAAAGCTTTTGATCTTAATTGCAGATCTCTTCAGAAAAAAAAAAGCCTTCTTTTCTTAAATATTTCTCTGAATTATGTGCCTGTAAAATGACACTTGCATTGTCCAGGGTGCCTTCTTTGAGTAAGAGGGTACAGTGTCTTACCCATAACTGTATCTGTGCTTAACATTCAAATTTTGGTTACCTTTTTTCTGTATCTGCTGTGTATTAAAACAAGCCTCTAACTGCAGCATCATCAGCTTTTAGAATTACCCGTGTGTGTTTCTCATGACCTTTTGTAATTCTTTGATGGATTTGAGAGAAATTTTATGAAACTGCAGACGTGGTATAGGACATTTTTCTCAGATCAAAGATGAATTGCTGTAATTTGAATTAGCTGGCTACACTGAAACACAATTTACTTTTAGATATATACTTAATTGTAATGAAGATTCTTGCCTTGCCAGCTACTTTTGATATTGATTTTTAAGCTGGAACTAGGAATGTGATACAGTAACAGACTTGCAGGGTGATCAGGGAGCTACATATATCAGGTTATTGATGCTGCCTGTCTCTCACATTTGTTCTAAGAAAGCATTGAAAACATTGGTATTTTTGCCATTTAAAGAGCAATGTGCTTTCCAGCTCTGTAAAAAGAGAATCAAATTTTGTGCTTATTTCATAGAAAAAAAATGTATTTTTGATCCACATTACTTGTGCCAAAATATTATCATCTTTATATGTAATAAAAATGATTTTCAGTAAAACCTAGAATTCTATTCTTGCAATAAATTTTGTATGGGGAAAAAACCTAATCTTGTTAGGCTAAAAAGGGTTGTTTCTCTGACACAGTAGGTTCAATTGCATCGATTTTAACATGGCCAAAATTGACTCCTGTTAAGATATATACACTGGTACATGCATATATCTCAAGGAGAACCTTCAAGGATGAAAGCTATGCAACCTCTCTGGCCAACCTTTTCCTTTGCTTACACTATCCTCATGATGAAAGTGTTTTTCCTTAAATTCATTCTAAATCTTCTTGTTTCAACTTCTGCTTTTTGCCTTTTGTTGTCCTGCTGTGCAGCATTGTGCAGGTCCTGGCTCCTCTTCTTGATGATATCCTTGTAGGTACTGGAAAGTGATCAAGTACCTCCTGGGGGACTATTTATATTCTGCAATGTTTAAAGCACGTAATACTTTAAAGCCCCCCTTTCACTCTCTTAATTCAGTAGTCCAAATCAAGAAGTGATGGGTAGGCTATGTTAAAGAAGAGAAAAAAAAAAAGAATTGCTAGAGTCGTATGAGTCTGATAAGAGTTTGGGATGATTCTAAAGAGCACAGCACTATGACAGAGAGAGGTAGACAAATGAGGATTGCCTGAGTAGCTCTACAGAAAAGCAGAATCTATTAGTGCTGACATGGAAGTACAGTAGCATATCTATGTTGCTTCTGGCATCTGAGTTAACTTATTCAGGGCTATCTCTCTCTATAAAGCACTGAGCTTTTCTGATCAAAAGCAAGTGCAAGATAAAAGTATGATTTAGGCAAATCCATCCTAAATTTTTTCCAGTATCTGAAATGAAAAAGTATTTCAATGTAAAGAAAATGTATTCAATATATTATTACACTTCAAGAATCGCTTGTATTTTGTGATATTAGTCGTAGCAGTAGCAGCAGTTTATATTTTGCACTATATGCAATTATCAAATAATGTAATCTTATCTTGACCACAAAAGAAGGCATTTCATTAAATAAGAAAATATCATCCTCCTTCTTGCTTTGGTTGTAAATGGCACTTGCTGATTTTGCAGTTAATAGAATTTAATATGTTTTATCCACGTTTTCCACCCAGATAAAACCAAAGTATCATTCTGCAGACCTGTGAGTTACTTTCACTACATAGAAAGGGAGACATACATGGATTTGATTGATCCCTAGGATCTCAGTGGCAGAGCTGGGAACTTAAAGGAACATAATGTTTGTTACTTCTGTACCTTACACAAAGGAAACCTGTTACAGAAAACTAATTACACCAATTTGGATATTCAGTGGCATCATGGCAGTAAACTACTCCAAGGGAAGTCTGTTATTTAGAAGGAAGGTGACAACCTCATGTATCACAAACCCTAATATATCACGATTGAATGAATAATGTAAACAAGTGAATTATAACATGCTGTCCTAAAGAATCGTTGCTGTTATCATTATTTACACTGTGTCTTCTATGTATGTGTTGAATGCAAATTTTTTGCTACTGTATGCAGGATTGTGAGCTAATTAATTTTTATGCTGAGAGAATTTTGGCCATGTCTCAACACCATGTAAGAGGTTGAAGAGAGTTAGTAATAGGGCTGATATATCATTTTCTTTCAAAAACCGATATTCAGCAAAAAATGGGCCATTACCAAATCGTCTTTCAGAAAATTGCTCAGGGTTCTCTGCAAAGTTATAACTTTCCACTGAAAGTTTTCAGAAAAAAAGAAAAAAAACCCCACCCTATATTTATTTATTTTTGTCAAAAGCTTAGCAATATATAGGAAAAAAAAAAAATAATAATGGCCCATCTTCGCGAACGAAGATTTGGGGAAAGGTCTTTTTACCTTTCTAGCCTGCGCAATGGATTTTTTAGGTGAGACACAGCCTGCGCTGAACTGAGCCCACCCTTAACAGTTATGTTTTCCTTAACAACTTCTGTTAGAGAATCTTTCAGACCAGTTTTTCCAGAAGGAGTTTCTTTGCATTGCCTGTTAAATGTTTTTAAATATCCACAGGCACTTTCATCTGGAACATCGTAAGACAGAAAAAAGATGGACAGTTCTGTGATATGGGGCTTTCTGCACTGGAATCTTTTTTTAAAAAAAACACATTACATTATTTTCTGTAAAGTGAAAATCTAATTGTCTCACTTAAACTGACAAGAAATGAGTCATTACCACTCAGTTCCCAAGAAGTAACATTCACTGTTAAGGGAGACTGTGCAAGGTCTTGTGTCTTGGTTAAGTCTTCAAAATTTTGATCTAAACTGGCTTAATTGGAAGGCAAACTGGAACTGATAGAGATCATAGAGAAAAATCTGCATTTAGTAGCTTCAACACAGGGCCCAGCTGACCCAAGGAGGTTACTGTGGCCAACCCATCCCATTGCAATGGGGCTCTGTGCAGCCCCTCAGCAGAGATGTGTTTAGCACTGGGCAGTTCATCAGTACTTTGTGCACCACCACCATTTTTACAAGAACTTGAGAACTGGTCTTCCATCCTGTGGAAGCAGCAGTCTTTTGTTCTCCCTCCAAGTCTGACTGACAGCCCTGCAAACTCTTCCATTTTTTAGTTCCTTTGAGTATGCATGTGAGTGTGAAATGCTGTAATAAACAGCAGGAATTTGTCTTCTCTAATAAAAAATGAATGGAATATTGTACAGGAAAGGTAAAACAGTCATTGCCACCAGGACTGGTCTGCAGTTGCAGGTCTAAAATTAAATTTAGGAACTCATTAACATGAGACTCTTACCTTAAACATTCAGGATCAGTCTGAGGTTTTTCAGTTACTTGGACTTTTTCTGCTTCTAAATCTTTTGTCATTCTTTCAGCCTCCCTGATTACTTTCTCAAGGTCTAAACATGAAATTAGAATCACTTTATAAATATATATTAATCATCCATATGCAAAGACTTTCTACATTTTCTAAATTGATATTTTCTAATATTTCTTCATGCAACTGTTTGAAGGGAAAAGGCATCTAAATAAAGAACATGAATTATTTTATTATTATTGCAATTGCATATTGCAATCTAGAAAGTTTCACTCCCTTTCTCAAACAATTTATGACCACTTTTACTGCTTTTCTTAGCTCTTACTGTGACATGTTACTTATATATTTGTAAAAAAGGTTACTAAAAGGCTCTAGATTACATTTTTTTAATTTAGATTTCAAAATTATCCCTATTGCTCTGATCACCTTTGGCACAGAACTTTTTGTGGTTCCTTCTGTATCTTTTTAGCTTTTCATTTTATAGAATTTGCTGAGTACTTGACACCTCTCCTAGATGTCCTTTTTTATGCACAGACTTCCATACAAGAACACACAAATGTCAGTAAACAGAAGACAGTTGAATTTACAACTCAGAGGTTTAGCACCTAGGACAAACCTGTCCTTCTCAGTCCAAGCCACATTGCTTTTAAAACATTTGAATTTTAGTGACATTCTTTAATTATAGGTTAATGGGTTTAAAACAATATTTATATTGATTTTAAGTGCACTTAGAAACACCAAATTCTCCATTTAAGTACATGACTTACCAGCAAAAGCAAATATTTCTTTTTTATATTTATAGCTCATGATTCAGCAAATCTCTAGACCTCAGTATCACTGACATTCAAAATAAATCTCATTGAAATCCATAATATTTATTATAGCCATGTTTAAAAATTATGTGTTACATATCGTAAAAATTAATTAAAATCTAGTTACTATGATTTCTTTTTCTTGAGAAAAGAAACTTGACTGAAAAGATTTTTCAAAAGCCTTTGCCAAGCAGAAATAATTATCATAGCAAGTAATTATCAGGCACACCTTTGAGTTCACTTTGGAGAGTAAATAAATCCTGCTTTAACTCATTCTTCTGCAGCTGGAGTGCATTTAACTGAACATTTTTGTGTTCCATTGACTCCATTTCTAAGAAAAGATACATTTAAATTAAAATACATTGCAGTTTTAGCATTCATGATACAATCTTAAATATTCTTAACTACTTCTATCAATATTCAGCTAGTGAAAAAGAACCTGGAATATAAAACAAAAATAAACTAAAATCAGTCATATAAAACACAATTCACAGGAAATTACAGGTCATACAATGCATTCATACCTATGAAAGAAAATGTTTTTTATTAAGATATTCAACATATTTTGTTGTATGGGCAGAAAAAGAATATTTTGCTTTAGAGTTACTTTAGCTATAAAGAAAGGAAGATGACTCATTGAATGGGTGGAGAACAGACACCTCTCAGCAGGACTGAAAAAAACCCACTTAATTTGTTTAGTCTTATGGATATTTGAACCTGACTATTGACAGCATCTGGAATGAATTGTGATTGTTTTTCTAACAACTGGAGGTCCTTGCATAATTTCCATGTTAAGAGTTACTTAAACTTTTCACTTCAGTGTTGTCAGTGTGCTCAGGACTGTAGCAGACCGAAGACAGGCAAGTTGTACCTCAAAAAAGGTGCAAATAAAGGGTGGAATCAAGACAGCAAGTGAACCTAGAGAAGAATGTTAGTCCCCCTTCAGATCCTACTAATCATTTAACTGCCCAGATCTGCCTGAATATGTAAAAATTAATTGCTAAAAGTAGCACTTGACACCGAATATAGACTTTTTCAGTTGTAGATTAGAATCATAGCAACAAGAAATAAGAAAGAAGGTACTACCAAGTGCAAACTCAAATGGATAGTCCTGTTTCAGTAACTTTACAGCAGATATTAGGAATTGGAAGTGCTGGTGTTTGACAAACCATGAGACTGGAAAGGACTTTGAGGGGTCATCTACTGCAGCCCTTCTCCTGAAGGCAGGATCAGCTGTACTTCTGCCATTTCTGACAGATGCTTGTCTATCCTGTTTTTAAAGACCTTTAATAGTGAAGACCCCTAATTCCTTTGATAATGGAATCTCCTAGGGCAGAGTGTTTTAGTTCATTGTTCTTAGAAAGACTTCTAAACAGTCAGAAAAACTCTCCCTTATTGTGTTTTACACTTGTTACTTTTTATTCAGTTCACTATAGATATGCAGAATATATTAATTTCCTTTTTACAGGATCCTTTAATAATTTGAAAACTGTTATTCATATTTCATCAATATTTTCCTTAACAGGTTAAATAGTGACAATTCTTTCATTTTCTTCTTTCTCATGTGCTCCAGAACTCTGATCACTCTCACTGGTTCCATGTGGATTCTCTCCAGCTGGTCCACATCTTTCTTAGAGTTTAACATCAAAACGAGAAGCACAGTACTCCAGCTAAGAGCTTAACCGCCCCAAATAGAGTGAAAAATTATTTTCCATGTCTTAGAGATCAGAATTATGTTTATGTCTCAGTGTGGTGTTGGCATTCTGATGTCATTAACTCATGTTCAGCTCGTGATCCATGACGACCCCTATTTCCTTGCAGAAGGACTGCTTTTAAGTCTGACCCTGTGTTCTGAGAGATCTCATACTCTGTGTCTTAAAGATCAAGTTCTACTGCAAGACATTTGTGTGTGCAATTCTTTTGAAGCTAAGGACATGTACAGAACTCATCCATAGAGGATTCTAACCAAAAACAGCCACTGTGTATGACAGGGCACCTCTGTGCTGGCTGACATTAGACATCAGGAGACCCTTCTGCAAGGGAATGGAATTAAAAGTACTGGTTTGCACAGTTGTATTTTACTGATTTGTATTAATCCAAGATACACTAGTTTAATATAACACTTACCATTTTTCAGCAGTGCTGCCTCATTCTCTAAATCCTTTATTTCAGTCTTGACTTTTTTTTTAATCAGAAGATCTCTATTACTTGTTAGTCCATATTCATTGTTAAACTCTGTTACTTCTCTGGTAAAATTATCTTCCTCTTCAGCAATTTTTCTCTTTGCATCTGTCTGAAAAAAAGAAAGGGAATATTGAATGTTCAGGTGAAAAAAAAAAGAAAGTTTTGTTAGGCTAGGCAGACTGAAACACACTGTTGTTTCTACCCTTAAATTTGTAGTATAATATAAATAAATAACAAAAGTAAATAAATGTAAAAGTAAATAATTTCCTGACTTATAAGAACATGAAAATGGTCTACAGCTCTAACATTATGTCTGTTGTTTCAACTTTCTTTTTTTTCCCCTGTAAAAACATAGGATATATTCTTAATAATAAAGCATTTAAAAAATTGCTACCTTATCTTCCAGAATTGCATCAACAGTTATTTGGTTCAACTATTTTACTGAAGTTAGAAGAAAGTTCTGTTTAAAGTCAGTAGCAAAGCATGGCTGTTCCTTTTTTTTAGATTGTTATTAATTTAAATCAAGGTGTTGTTTATTCCTCTGCAGAACTCAGAGTTACTTTAACTCCCTCAATAACTACCAAGAAAGCTATAGTTGATAGGAAATTACTGTTTTATTTTCTGGAAAAAAACCCCATTCAAACAAGAAAGGTTATATTCAATTTCTTTTAAGAAATCTTATTTGATTGCTAAGTCAAATAAAATGAAATGTCCCCTATATACAGGAAAAAAGAAATGATAACCCATATATCACACTTGACCAGCTCCAATTAAAAGAAACTTCACACATATATTGGGAATACTTTGGGTGCTGCAGAAATATTACTCAATTAAGAAGATATCTACCTGAAGATTTAGGGTTAATATCAGTGGTTTGGACTGAACATTTAAAATTTAGCTCTGCCGAACATTTAAAGTGCAGATACACACGCAGAGAAGACTACTCCTCTGGCACTGCTTTATATGTACAGATCCAAGGATCCTCAGAGAAGTAAGAGGAAGGAAATATTCAGGTTGGCATATGAGAGAACTAAAAAACTTCTTGTCTGTTGTAAGGAGCTGCCTTTGAAGAGGTGGTTAGGTGTGTCTGCCATCAGAGATTGTGTGGCACGTCAGGATTGCTAAAATATGGTGTGGGCCTCCCTGGGTTTTTCCTTTGATCCTCCTCAATCTGTTTGATTGTGGATGAGCCAACCTAACTTAAGGTGAGGCTTTCCTAGTTTACTTTTACAGAGTAAATAATCTATCACAATTGGAGTTCAGTCATACAGCAAGAGACATTAGAAAATGAAGTCAAGAAGGTTAAATCAGCTTTGTAGATAAGCTGCAGCATACACTACCTTAGATCATGGTTTGAATTAAAAGTGAGAATTTATCTACATTTACACTGTTACATAAACTAAAGTAAAAAAAAAAAATTCCTGATTTAGAATATTCTTCCAGATTTTCAAATTTTAAAGCTGATTGCTCTTGCCTAGTAGAAAAGAGCTGTCTGAACACCATAGCTGGAAACATACCAACACTTTAAGAAGACTGCTTTTTTGATTAATAAGTTCAGCTTTCTGTTTTTCTAAGCTATCTTCACGTTTCTTCAGAATTTCTAAGTAGAACTGCTTTTCAGACAGATGCTGAACCTTCCAAGAGAAAAAAAAAGTTAAGAAGTAAGGTTATTGTTTTATTGCTTCATATACTTTGATATTGTACACAAGGATCTTGGTCCAGTTAAAACACAGCTGCCATAGCTGCTGGACTAGCAAGAGCATAACAGTTCTTTCCCCCCCCCCTCTAATCTTGCAGGATACCACTAAGCTTTTCAAAATCTTCTTTCTTTAAAAGAGACATTTAGTGGTGGTCTGTCTATCTAGAATGGCAATTTAAAGTCTGCTTGATTCAGGAGATATTTTTTTCAGGTTAAAACCAGGAAAAGTATTGACCACATGGGATATTTTATCCAACACAGGACAGTGTCCTCCACCTAACTGTGTAAAGCTCATCATCTACCAAATCAGAAAACAATATTAGAGGGACAGTGGTCCAACACCGTGGTTTTGACTGAATGGCTGTACATGTCACCAACTCTGCAATGCCACTGTGGCATATGTGAAGGAAGGAGGGATAAGCTCATATTTTTCTGAGCACAATTTCTGGAATTTTTAGCCAAGAAAGTGTAATGGAAATCAGCTCATTGATTAGGGACAGTTTGACCATAACCACCCAAAGCCCCACACTTCAATTTTGCATATAGATTTATTTTGAGTTTTATTACTTTAACCATTAATTTATCTGATAGAAGAGTATGCTATTCAACCACTGCATTTTCAAAATTTGCTGAAGAGTTCTTCTCAATTTTCCAGCACATCTACTCTATCATCTAAGCTAAGATACATGGTGGAATAAACTATAATAACAGATAAATAGAAAACAGTTAAGTGTTGAAGAGTCTTAAAGGATGAAAACCATTCATCTGATGAAGTTCTCTTGAAGTGAGTCAAGAGAATGACTCAGACTGTAATACTCAGCAATAAGTAGGGAAAGTAAAGTTAGCAGAAGTGCCCACAGTCTGTGAAGGCATAGGGTAAGAATCAGGAAGTAAATTGAATAGTCAGGCTGATAACGTGACTGTTTGTGTGTGTAGAAGCAGAAAAGACCAAATAAGAGTGGTATTAAAGTGGTAAAAGTGAAAAGATTTTAAAATTAAACAATGTAGATGATTTTGGAGAGGGCACAGATCAAGTGCATCTGATCAAAACAGGAGGATAGTGGAATGAAAATGCCCTAAGATCAGAATGTGAGAGTTGGGAAGGAAAGGACCAAAGTTTTCCCTTATCCCTGATATGTCCAGCATGTTAAGTGTCTAGGAAGTGCTTGCCTCAAGAGAATTTATTTTACACATTAATTCAAAGGAGTAGATGGTCTTATACCACTGTATTTGTATTATTGACCATAACTAGCTGCAGTGCAGTTACTCCATCTGTAAGATGCCAACTTAATCTATGCATTTGCAACCAATTTTTTTAAAGAAATCATTGAGCTATGAAATGCAAAATGTTATAATTCGGGTTCTAATTACATGCTACCTGATTTTACAGAAAAGAGGGAAAAATTGCACTTCCTAGGACTCTTTGATTGACCACAGGCAGTGTCTGTGAAATAGATGTCAAAAAACTTTTGAACTCAGCCTCATCTGCTTGGTCAAGCATCAGCTGCTGAGCATGCATGTGGTTGGATATGTCTGATTATAAAGAACTGCAGTTATTTTGTTCAGGATAAATTGAACAGCATTAGCTGAACAGCATTATTTAATATTATTTGAATTGCATGAACTATTGTAGACATATGTAAACCTGATTTCTGTACTGAAAAAGAAATTACTTTAAATAATGTCCATAACTATATAATCTTTAAACCTAAATACAGTCTGATTGAAATGTATTTTCCTATTCCACTACTTTTCTGTATCATTTCCTATCTACAAATTAATCAATGTCAGACTAAGCAAGCAAGCAAAATATATTTTTGTGGACATCAGTGAGAATATTATTTATCCTGGTCAGTAAAGCACATAAAATTTAATTAGGAATGGTTCTTCAGCTCTTCCCATTAGTCGTTTACAATAATGGCTCTACTCTTGGGACCTTCTATACCTACCATATGAACCTGGATTATAAATCACACTGCATCAACAACAAATTAGTAGTATAAACATAAAATTGTAATGTTCATAAATAAATTTATGAGTAAGGCTACAGAGAACTTCACCTAACAAGCAATATCCAGATATAATCTGTGTTGGCTAAATAAGTTACTATTTTAAAGCACCTTTGGGCTCTGAGATCGTGACATGCATAAATGTGAGCACGTGAATAACTGCTTGCATGATTATAGTCTGCATTTACAACCAGTAAATATTTGTAAATGAGTTCTTTTTTATTCTGATCAGTAATGTTGATATTTGTTATATATACTACATAGTCCTTTACAAAAGGCAGAAGAACCTGTGTTTGGAAGGATGAAGATCAACCTCCAAATATTTATTTTCACAACTAGGTGAGGCAATCCCCCAAATGTTCTTGAAGTTGTTTATTTAAGTGATAGGATACAACAGTTCTGACTTCAAAGGAGGCTCCAAATCCTTTCCTGTTGTGAATACATATTCTGTCAGCACAGACACTTAAGAACACTAGGGAAGGTATTTAAACTTCATTTTTCAGATAGAAGCAAATGGAATTTCAAATAATTTGCAACCACAGGTGTTATTGGTGAAAAGCTCTGCAAAACTGGAAGCTTAATCTGAAAATACATCTGCAGTCTGATTAAATGGAAAGAGTAATAAAATCAGTGTATGATTCAAGGTCCTGTGAAGTAAACATGGGGAATGTTTCCATATATTTTCTCCTGTGGAAGGCTGTTAGTGAAAGGCATCAGGTAACCAAGAAATGCCTTTTGGGCACTGAAGGAAATGCTGTAACAAGTTTCAGGACTGTTAAAGCAGGGAATTTCACACCATACCCCAACAGTCAGCCTGCCCATAGCTGGTGGCCCTATCTTGTGCATGCAGTGACCTGTCCATGGTGATGTGCTCCTTGCCAAGCTCTGTCTCTGGAGAAGGAGTGACTTGCCTGTGCACATGTCCTGATTCTAGAGTTTCCAGATTTTGGAAGCATTATCTGGAAACGTTCCTAACCTTGAGCCGAGCAAGTCCCTGAACACAGCCAGTGGCCAGCCCAAAGGGTGAGATTTGTGAGAGGAAGGATGTTGACAGACCCTTTTTTCACTACAGGAATGCACAGTGTAAGTTTTCTCAATGCTGTTTTACTCAGCAAGTGAAGCACACTCCTTGAAAGTGCTTATGAATCTATTCCTGAAAGGTCATATATTTGTAAACATAATGTATTTCATTATTATGTACACTCTAAATATGCCTGCTTACCTTAGTTTCTAAGTTAACTTTTGCAGCGCTCAGCTCTTCTTTTATTTGGTTAATTTTTTCATGGCTTCTGTTTATGTCACATTTAGCTGCAACAACAAACAAAAACCTGTAAGAATGTTTACTCGGTTTGTAAAAGTTACATTCTTATAGAAACATGCCACTAGCAAGAAGCGGCCATCCCGGCTTTCCCTGACACAAGTCCCCTCAGGACACCCTGGGAATGGAGAGGCTATTCAGGGTGGCCCCTCAGGACGGCGGCCACGGGGCCGACCTTGCTGGATGAAGTGCCTCTTCTCCCTCGCCTGCTTCTCTGTGAACTGTATTTGCTGGAACAAAGCATCCAGGTTCATTTCTGTCTTCTCGTGGAGCCCGTGCAGCCGTGCTGCCTTTTTGAGGGCTGGCTGGGGAGAGCCGCGGTGCCCGCAGGAAGGGGAGGCTGGGTCTGGCCACAGCCCTGCCCTCAGGGCTCTGCCCTCGGCCTCTGCCGCCCCGGGGCTGGGAACAGCAGGGAGCGACCAGGGCAGACGGGACATGGCTGAGGGGGAAGAGGGGACACAAGGGGAGGTGAGGGCTGCAGAAAGCAGGGGACTGAGAGGGAACCTCGGGCAGAGTGAGATGTGGGTGACTGGCTGGGGGACCCCGCGTGGGAAACAGTGAATGGAAACGAGCAGGCAGGGAAGCTACAGTAGGAGCAGGAGAAGGAAGATAATTGTTGAGGGAAAAACCAGGTAGCACTGAATCATGTCAAACTTGGGCACACCTGTGAAACTGGTTCTGGCTCAGCATCTGGGGAGTTTTGATCAAACAACTCTGACTTCTTTATTTCTCTGGGAACATGTGCTTTATTCTGGTTTTCTGTCGTCCAGAAGCTGTTCTTCTTTACCCCTTCCTTTTTCTATGGAGTGATCACTGTCCTTTCTAAAAGTTGCATCAGCTCAGATTTCCTTATCTTTTGAAGACTGATGTCTAAGCTGAGCAGCTAAGGAAGTAGGCTAAAATCTGCTATCACTCAGAAGAACAAGGTAAATCTGACTCCATAGAACTTACAGGGATCAGAATCAGCTCGGCTGCATTTCACCATGAATGTAAAATGGGCAGAGTTTCTGTTCCAGTTAGTCCCAGTAAGCAAAGATCACAACACAGCCCATTCTACGCTCTTCTGGAGCATATCTTTACTCTGCTTGGAGCTCCTGTAACGCTCTGGTTTGTACGTTACTGGATGATATACTTGGAAATGTAAGTACCTGGTTGAAAATATAATTCCTATTACAGGGTTTGCTTCTGCATCTTGGAAAGGATTGACTACACTCTCTGCAGGGAATAACTAAGTGAAGTTGGCCTATTTGCTTTGAGGCAGAAAAAGCCTGGAGGAATGGAACTTTATAGATTTCCATCCTTTTTAACATTGAAAAAGATTAGGATTATTGACATTCCTGTATTGTTATGGACATTTCCTCAGAGGAGATACTCTCTTAGCATAGACTGCTGCAGCAAAGTTCAGAAATTAGAAAGTGAAAATCTTTGACCATCAAAAGCAAAACAATATACATGAGAGTACATGTCTTATTAATCAAAAAGCTGTTCTAAGTAAGCAGACTGAAACTGAGAATTCTGGAAAAATGTTATGCTATAGCATTTACTGCTTAAAAGGTGCTACGTTATAGCTGATAGTGTGCTATAAAATGGTGCTTTTAAAAGGAAAGACATTGCTCTATCTAGGAAAGAAAATGTGGGTTCTGATGAAATTTAAACCCCTGAAACTGGCACATTATGTTGCAGGAAATGCAATTATTTTTTAAAATGGAACAAAGTGCAACTGAGGGAGAAGAGTTCACAAAAGTGAATTTAGAAAATGTTTCAGAAGTGAAGCTTCCTACCCAAAGGCCAAAGGAAAGGCGGATGAGTCAAGCAGGAACATTTGGTGATTGAGACAGTGATTTGTTACACAGGTCTGATGAGTGAAAAAGTCATTTTACAAAATTCAAGAAAATGAACTACTCTATCAGGGGATCAAGGAGAAAATAAAATGAAAAGCTTTCTTTGAAGTTTTTGAGACTTGACTGCTTTTGTGTTTCAAACTGAGAAAGCTGCTGTAGGCTGGGATAGTGTTCAGTGTCACTTATTAAAGGAACGACTGTGTTTTGTGGAGGGTGCTTCAGTGCCTCTAATTATGGCAAAGGAGCTGCTCTCCCTAGAAAGAAGAGTCTGACTTCAACTGTACTTCTCACTGTCTGAGAATGACCATTCAGCAAGATTAACAGTTCTGTAAGAGTTTCCTTCAGAGGCCAAAAAAGTTCAAAGTGGGACATGTATTTGACTTTAGCTTCAGAGCTTTTGACTCCTTCAGCTATTTGCCATGTGCTTGATTTTTACATGGTAAATAACTCGATAACTCAGGATTTTATAAATTGAACCACATGTGTGAAACATATACAAGTGATTTCAGTTAGGATCAAGGCCATTACCTCAAAGGTGTGTTCTTGCTGGCTCCCATGGAAATGGATGAGATGGCATGAACCTGAATGTTTCAGAATGAAAATAAAATGTGCAATACCTTCACTCAACTCCACTTTTTGCAAAGTATAAGATCTCTTCTAAATCACTAGCTGTTAGAAAGGTGACTTTAATTTCATTCTCTCGGTCATATCAGTACATCCTAATCTTAATCTATATCTGTATCTTAATCACTGTACTGTAATCAGGTCATGTCTTTTTAGTGTTCTTCAAAATTAGTAATTGCCCTTTGTAATCAGGCTGCTGTGCTAATAGTGAAGTTTCTTCTAAAAGTTTCTTCTCTAGTTTGTGTAGGAAGAAGAAAAGAAAAATTTTATTTGTAATTTCAAGTCAGTATAAAAAATTATTACTGTAATTTATTTCTAAATCATATGTGCTCAGATTGTTTCAAAAATTGTTTTTCTAAAAGACAAACATTAAAGAGGCAAAAGTAAAGAAGGGGCAGGGTAAAAGTCAGATGATGCAATATGGTCTTCACCATAAAAAATATATAGTAAAAGCTAGAAATTGTAGGATTATAGTTACAAATAAATGTCCTCTTTTGGTCTTAAGCATTGTTAGTATTATTTTTTCCATATACAAACTACACTGTTTACTTTTGAAATGCTTTATTTATAGCAAACCTTCTTACCAAACTACGTCTCTCTGGTCTCCCTTTCCTGTTGGTGGTCTTTGTATTTGACATCTATTTTTGTAGTAACTTTCCTCTACTTTACATGAAGGAATAAAGCCAAAATATTCCGTGGCATAAATTCACCACTGTCATTTTGTGTTCAGTGCTGAAGTGCTATTTCTTTTATGGGAAATAACGTATCTGTGTGTCTGTGTGTGTACATGTATTGAGAAAAAAAAGAAAGGAAGTGCACTAACCACTTGGAATGCAGTGCTAAGCAGCAATGCTATCAGAGAGAGAACACAAATAGTAGAAACCCCGTAATTATTTGTCACAAGTATGCATAAAAAATCACAGAGTTATTAAAAATTCATTTTATAATGTCACTTTTTAAAATCAAGGCTGTAGCTCTACTATTTAAAACTTCACCGTTAAAATTCAGCAAGCAGTGTAAAGTGGTAACATAAAATAAAGTGTTTTCAATGTAAATCAAGAACGTTTTGTGTCGTGGTTCTCCTGCTCTGGCTGTCCACCCATTGCATGGCAGGGTAGGATGGAGCTGTTCTGTCTCTTCCCTTGCCTGTGTCCCGGGATAGGTGGAATGGGGGAGGCACAGGAGCAGCAGAACAACCTCTTAGTGGTTCCTGCTTGAGTATATTTGAGTTCCTATTAATAAAAGAAATGGAAGAAAAAAAATAACAAAACCAGAACTCAACTACTGAAACCTAGAGCAGGAAAACAAGGAAGGACAACATTAAAATGCAGGAATAACCTATAATTTTTGACCTATCTCAAATTTCCTGAGGAACTCAGGCTGAAAACAGTCTAGTTTTTATCTCTGGAAGAGTGAGAGCAAAGTGCTGTCCCACAGGCTGGAAACTCTCAATTTCTATTAGACTGCTCACCAAGGGAGTCATGAATGAACACCCTGTTTCTTCCTTGTAAAAGGAAGGAAATAAACTACACATTCACATAATAAAATATAAAATAATTGAAAATTTAGAAATAAATCCCTCACAACTTATATGGAAATGGATACAGAGAAATGAGAATGTTTCTTTTTGCCCCAAATTCCTATTTGTTTTTTCAGGTGACAAAACTGTGAGTTAGTGAAAAGCTCTGTGTGTTTATTAAACACCACTAAGAAGTAACTTTGTGTTCCCCCTTAACTTGCCTGGCTGCAATGGAGAATTAGCATACCCTTTTCCACTTTGGTAGGAATGTAAACAACTTCACAACAGATGTTCTTTATAAGGACAGAGCCTGCTATTTGCATTGTGATATCTCTGTTTGAGTCTTATATCCAAGATTTTGTTTAATTCCATCTGGAAAGGCTTCACTGGATCCCCTTGGCTTACTAAAACAAAGATTATTCTTTTATGGTTTTAAATCTAAGTTTTCTACTTTCTTTGGTCAGAATCAAACACCACCTGCGTTCTTTGCTGGTTGGTAACTGTGCAGTTATACAGGTATCCACATTGTTCCCCTGTAGTGGTTTGGAGTCTTAAATATATTTCAGTTGTTTCTTTTACTGGATCTAAGAGTCTATCCTAAAACTTTTATACTCTTCTGTAATATTTGGATAAGTGACAAATGAGACTCTCATTTGAAACATCTATCAGAGCTCTTATTTATCTTGGCATAAGGGTAGTAACTTATCTAATGGAGAAAGAATTTTTCAGATTTGGAGTGCATACCACAGTACAAAATACAGCCTTGAATTTGTATTTTCATAGTGAATTTCCTTAATTATTTGTCTGGGAAATTGTAGCTTGCTTTACATCAATACTCATTACCACTAAGTTGGCATCCAGTGGAAGCTACAACAGAAACAGTGAATAAATACTTTTTAGATTTTAATTGTTTGCATCTTCCATTTATATGAGGGGTTTTTTTCACTTGGTATTAGCAGAAATGTAAATGAATTATCTATTATGTTGTACTGTCTTATGGGTGGCATTAAATCCTCTGAAAAAGAGGCTGTTAAAGAAATATTTTGAGGACTGGGATTTTCATGCAAAAGATGTAATCTTGGATTGAAATGAAACAGTCTGTTGAAAAGACTTCATTTTAATCAATTAAGTTAGGTATGTTTCCTATAAGCATATAATGCCAGTATGCCGCCTTATCTCTTTTTGTCACATAAATTTTATCTTAATTATAGAGATTCTTAATGGACACTGAAACATAGAAAGTAATAATTTCCCATTTCAGTTGATTCTCAGGAGTTCCTATATAATCCTGCTATATTATTAGATGAGCTGCTGTCATTATTTCTTCTAAAACATTTCAGGAGATTTTAAAATGTGTTTGTTTAAGCTCTATTTCTACTTGATGCTGCACTTGTAGGAAAAATAATATGTGTAGATGACTGAAATGAAATAGCTTTATTGTCTTTATTCATAACAGCAGTGTTACTTAGTGCTGGGTTAGAAAACTTTTATACTTTCACTATAGGCATTGAAGCCAAATGAATTTCTTTACATATCATTAATAACTCTCGT